CTCACTGCGGTCGATAAACCAGAAATCGGACACCGACACTGGACCGCGGGTAGTCATCAGTGGCGTGCCTCAGCCGCATCAGTTTCGTAGTCGGGCGACTTTCCAGAAGGTCACGGAACCCAGGTGTGATGTCGCGTGTCAACACCATAATTACGACGGCCGAGCGCAGAGGACAGCAGTCAGTCAGCGCGACCGCGACTGCCAGAAAAGGAACCCAATGGGTATGTGCCCACACACTATTTTATTTACAGATGATGTGTCTTGTTCTAATGATTCCGCGAATGCCACTAGACCACGTAATCCACCGGTGCCTGCGCCCGGTTGAGGTCGATGCTGTCACATGGCTTTGTCGCCATGGAGGTCAACGGAGGTCAAACGCAGCGGAAAACTGAACAGTAACATGCCTCCTTTTCACTGCATACTATTTAAACGCGACGCATTGGCTGGGGCTTAAACGAAATGTTGTTCTGGTAAAATGTAGGATGTAGGCGGGGCATTCACATCAAACGTTGTTTTTTCACAAAGCTGCAGGCCCACTTGCAGTAGCTTCAGTACGCTTCCAGTAACTCCTGCAACATACAGTTTTGAACATAATGCGATCCTCTAAGCCAAGGTTTGATCAGGTTACTGACCAACGCGTCTTTTAGATGAGAAATGTCGGTTCAAGGCGTGGTTCGATATATAACTGGTGATACTGACAACGTTTTGGACGTGGCCTTGTTCACCTGGGTCTTGTTAATTTTTCAACCAGCTGTTTACTTCCATGCAACCTACATCAGTCACCGGCTTAAGCTGACCTTCAGTTCTAGCCCTTAGCAAAACGAAATTCCGGAAGCAGTGCATGGTTATTCACTCATACAATCTTTCACATCACCCATACTCCTTTCATACACCTTTTAAAAGTCATCAGAGGTTAATGAAGCATTTTGACCTGACCGTCCCAATCTGACCTCCCGGCACTATCGCCTGCAGATAACAAACTCATTATGGCCCAATGCTTACTCATGCAAGTAAGGTATAATTGGTCAAGTTTAATTTTCATTTGCACAAAAAACATTTAGCTGCTCATAACGTTTCCTCTTTGTAACTACCAGTGAAAACACTGTTTGCGCGGTCATGCTGTTTAGATGATGCTGCCATCTGACGTAAAGGCGGGCAAGCAGGCTCTGCGAGAGGATCCCTGCGAATGCGGCAAACACGTCTCCAGATGGCTCCAATTCAGCGGGCAAATAAAATGTTTGTAGTAATTGCTCTCCGTGCAGCAGCTATGATGACAGGCTTGGAGATGCTCGTTACTTCCAGGTGATGCTCCTTACCTGATGTAAGCACGAAACTTCAGCCATTTATGATACAATCGATCGATGGCAACAAGGAGGAAAGCTAACACTTCCGAACCAAGCTTTGGAAGAAAAGCAGTTAAAACACTGGGATCGCCGCTTCTGCCGGAAGGCCCAGCAAGGACCAGCGGCTGCCCCCCTCCCCCCCACGCCCTGGCGCACTGCGCTCCTGACTGCCCCCCCACCCCCGCCTCCGGCTGGATCACATTCTAATGCGTACGCACATGATGCCACTTGGTTGCCTACAGGCTTTGGGTTGTCACATGATGCCGCTTAGTTACCTACAGGCTTTGGGATGTCACATCAAAACAATTTCAAATTTTCGGGACCATACCGGTATGCATGCGATTGGCCCAAATATTAACGGTTTGGTTAAGCATACTTGGGCTATTTTTTCATTTTTGTTGAATCACGGCAGGCAGACGAAGCGCTCTCTGTAATATGGCCAAGAGCCCGATCATCTCCACTTTTACCACACACATGTAAGGCAAGCGCACGGTTGTATACACGTCCACACTATGCTTCCGCACGAATACGAATGCACCAGGGTACTCATAACGAGATATCAAGAAAAGGTTTTGACCGGCCCTGCGGGTATTCACAGACACCCGCAGCGCCAGTCATTGCAGTCGAGGTCGCTGGGGGGGGGGGGGGGGGACTAGCAACAAACTCCTTATATTAATAGGCACCGCACCTGTACAAACGCATTTTTGATGAACCGTCACGCGTGAGATGCCGAGCCCAGCGCTGCTCAAACAGCTGCACCGTGCCCATTCCCAGCCGATACATTGCGCCGACTTTACATGCTGTGCTGTGTGAGATGTGACGACGGCCCGGGTCCGGCAGAGCCGTTACCTCCCACTCGGCACGCGGCGCGCGTGGCTCCCTGCTCCGCCCCCCAGTGCTGACCGACCTCTCCGCACACCAGCACCGGTTAGTCACTTAGCGGGACGCCGCGGAACATTAATCCTGCTCAGGGTGTCAGAGGCTCTATGCGACATCCGGGGTTAGGACACGGGCCGTCCGACGCGGGACAGAGGTTCGACAAGGAGCCCGTCCGGCGCGGGGCAGAGGTTTGACAAGGAGCCCGTCCGACGCGGAACAGAGGTTCGACAAGGAGCCCGTCCGACGGGGACAGCCGGCCCAGACGGACAGAGGTTCGAGTCGGCGCCCATTCGACGCAGGACAGCCGACCAGCAAAAAAGGAAAAGAAAACAACAACAAAAACAAAAACAAACAAACAACAAGCAAAAAATAAAAACTCTTGAATCACAGAACTTAACTTGCGGCATCTCACTCCTGTCGAAGACTCTATGCCAGTGGAAACACCTCCCAGATATAACCAAGAAAGGCCCTCTGCTCCTGATTTTTCAGCTTTATCTGTTCAGTTTCCCTTGCTGTCAACTACCACAGCAGACACGTTTGGTTCAGCGCACGTGACCACATCACTTCCAGTCAGGGTCTACCTGATGGCACTGCCTGCACGGCTAAGGTCCTGGGCTCTTATTTGCCGACATCTAAATTCGGCTTGAGGAGTTCCCTAATTACCCTTCACATTCCCACCGGATAATGCCCTCTGGTTGGTAGGTCTGGTTTAAATGTTTTCCAACATTTGAAGCGATGTTGCCTTGCCAGAGAGAAAATGTGACAAGAATTATCGAGAGCCGTCTAGCCTTTCATTTAAAGAAAAGCCAGGAACAAGCCTTTGAAGTCCACGGTGCGTCGGTTTTGTTCGTTTGGAACGCAGCTGAACGCCTTGACCAGTGTCGGCACCACCTGGGGCCGTGGGATGCCCGCCTTCCAACTCATCAAGACGATCAGCAACATGGCCCTAAACATGGCCCTATGCCATGGCGTCGCATGGAGCGGACGTGACTAGAATGCGCCCCATCCTTCAACGTGACGCGATGACGACTCACGATCACTCTTAGCTGTCGTGCTGAGCTTACTGGAGAGAAGCCTGGTCGCAGGCACACTAGGCGCCTCTGCAAGGAGAATGGAAGACCACCGCAGACTGGGGAGGGCGGATGGCGTCTGGCGGTGTGGAGCCATGGTCAGTGATATCGTCCAGTGCGGGTGACTTGTCGCGGCATACCTGGTGTAGTGGCAGAGCGGTGCGTGCCCTGGCTCGTGTTTTCGCGCACCGCATCACAGCTACGTTTGGGCTAGGGATCCGCGACAAACACGGTGAAGACCGTTGATTAAAACGTCGAAGGGATCTGATTACAGGAGCAAGCGGGTCGAGTGAATGCTGGAAAAGAAAGATTCAACCCAACTAAACTTTGTACCCGGGGAAAAGCAGACCGGCTTGCGGTAAACCGGCAAAGAAGAACGGGTAGAGAGGAATGGTCTTCTGGCGACCGCCAATAGCACATTACAAATTCAACGAACTCCTTAAAATGACAATCAACAGTGGTTCGAGACTAACGACGACGTGTTGTACATACTAACAATCGTTAATCGCACACATTTCTGTATGCATGACATTCACAGACAATGGTCAAAATTACTAGGCTTCTGACCGGTTGTGCCTATGCCTCTTGCCCTTTTGCCTGAAGTCAGGGCAATCCACTTAAGAGCAACCGGCTTCAGGCAGCATCTTAACGTTCACGAAGTCTTGTGAAGGAGGGATGGAGTGGCCGGGTCCGCGCCTTCATACCGCCTACACGCTCCAGTTCTCTAGAAGTTGTTTTATCCTGCCAGCACCCGCGCTGATGAAATATGAGTGCATTTAGTGGATAACCAGGGGCGGGAAACAGGGAAAGGCATGGTAGGATTTAATCTCCAGCCGTTGCAACTGTAGATCGTGCTGGAATTTGGAGAAGTGTGTTCGCGTTCTGGGCAGCTGTCATGAAAACGTTTCGCTTGGCGGCTGAAGCTGAACATAGAAAACAAAAACCAAGCGTTCAAAAATCTGTGACATAAATAAATATGTTAACAAATGTTCTTTTATACAAATCGCGTTCTTTTCAACGCTTATATTTCAAGTGAAACACCGTGTATCATGGCCGAGAGGGGAGGTTGAATGCATCAGCTGACAAAGTCCGGCCTCTACGGCAACTAAGGCTTAAGACTGTACTCACCTGCTGAAAAAGAAATCATCATAGCATGTATGCGCTTGCATTGCCATTGCCTCCTACCTCATAAATGATCACGTCGAGGATGTCGGAGAATGCTGAGTACATACGGATGGGAGTTTATGCACCTTACAAACACCGGACGTAAGACCTTATGTCAACAGCTCACCGTCCTTACCGATGCCACTATTTTCACGGGCAGGCCACGACCAGACAGGTATCACACTCGCGTATATACAATTTATATCATGTTTGCGTATAGATCATTCCAGTGTCGAGGCTCAGTATGGTAATCATTCAAGCGAATCAACGCCGACCGGCCCAGGCGAAACGCTGTGCGCGCACACACACACACACGCACCACACACACACACACACACACCCACACACACACACACACACACCCACACACACACACACACACACACACACACACACACACACCACACACACACACACACACACACACGCAACACACACACACCCCACACACACCGCACACACACACACACCACACACACACACACACACACACCACACACACACACACACACAGCGGACCGCTGGTTATCAGGGGCCCACTCACGTATGAGATCATGGGCAGGTTGAGACTGGCCGCCAGTCTGCCCTCGTGGACGCAGGTCTCCTGAGGACCGATGTAGGCCGACACGTTCCTGTTCCACAGGCGCACCACCTGGCGCAGGCTCTCGCTCTCCCTGCCGTACGTCTCGGCCACCACGAAGTCCAGCTGATGACCTGTCGGGGTCGGGCGCCGTCAAGTGGTGTTTCAATCAGAGGCGCACCAGGCGGGGGTCAAGGTCAGGAGCGTGATCAGGGGCGCACCCAGCGGGGGTCAAGGTCAGGGGGCGCAACCAGCGGGGGCCAAGGTAAGGGGCGCCACTCAGCGGGGTCAATATCAAGGGACATGATCAGAGACGCATCCAGCCGGGCCAAGACAAAGGTCATGACCCAGCTGGGCCTAACCAGCGGGGTCAAGGCCAGAGACGTGCCCAGGGGCACAGTGTAGGGGTGCAGCCAGGGAGAGCAGAGGTGACGTCACACGTGGGTCCCGGTCACAGGCAAGCACAGGCGGAGTAAGGGGTTAGTGCGCAGCTCTGCCGCGGCCGAAGTCAGGGGCACACCCAGGGGAGATCGGAGGCAGGGGCGCAACGAAAGAAGGTCGGCAGGGGCGCAGCGACGGAAGGTCAGCAAGGGTGCAGCGACGGAAGGTCGGCAGGGGCGCAACGACAGAAGGTCGGCAGTTGTTGCAACTGGGGTGTCGAACTACAACTGGGGTGTCGTAAATTTAATGGTTCCTCCGTCGTTTATTGCATTTTTTTATTCAAAGAGATGTACAGATTACGAAATGTTGGCGTCTATTTTATTTCCAGGGTTGTACAGAACATATAATCAAATGACGGGCTGTCAACATGTGAGCGTGTCCTAAATGCGAGTCTTTCGCCCAACTCGCATGGAACTGACAGCGAGACACAAAATCCAGCAGCAAGGCAAAACCAAAGCAGCGAGTAGATCACAGTTACAAACGACCTGGCATTTGATGGTTGGCATTGTCTATACTATGAAGGCGTTAGACAGAGGCGTACGGGGTATGTCCACAACATTCCCAGGCTCTGAGACCGTGACAGTCGCACAATGGCAACAAGATCTCTAGAATCCGCAGAAACGTTTCGAACGACCGTCGTTTGGACGCCGTCGCGCCACGTGGTGCAATATTGGTCGTCCGTTCATCAGACATCAAATGCTTTGAATTCTCATTACGTTCCAGCTGCCTGGTCGTAAACAGCAAAGCAGCCCCATAATGGGACTCGCGCCAGGGGGACAGAGCGCTGGAAAGCACAACGATCGCTCGCTCGGCTCGGGCGGGGCGGATGGCGGGCCGCCGGAGACGGTGGGGGGGGGGGGGGGAGGGGGAGGGCTGAGTCACGAGTCACGGGTCACGAGTCACGAGCCGGAGGAGATTCGCAGGCGCACTGAGGGGCTAGACTGCTGCTGGTTCGGGGTCGCGCTGAGACCGCTGTTGTGTGGTGAGGGTGCTGGTGAAAGTGGCTGGGTGAGATGCTGGCAAACAGAAACTTTGGACTTATCTTGGATTGCCTCGTAGGAACCGGCACGAACTGGGTCATCACCAGTCTTACTTTCATGCCATACAGGTAGAAATGGTTGCCGACCCAGACTCTAGGACTTGCTGTTGGAGCTTGGAATAAATGTCTGCTGTTTGTTCGTGGACACTAACAGACCCATTTGGTGAGCCTTCTTTGGTGGGATCTTAAATTCCCGAACATGTTCAGTATTCTTTGATGAAACACTAAGAACATACTCGTTATGATATTTGACTTTAGTTCTATATTCAGGAGAATGAAAACTTTCGTTATCCCCATATTTTATGATCGCTCAACGGTATCCAGCATTTGAGTGAATCCCTATCCCACTCAATTAGGATAGCGAACTGCCATCGTTTGAGACAAGTGAATTTATATCCCACCCATCTCTGTGTGTAATTGTGTACCCAAGCCACGATGATTGCGCACAGGGTCGCCAGCTGCAGCGTCATTTGACAGGCATGCAATGCCAGGAGAACGTGACGTCTGCAGCACTGAGCAGAATGGACTTCATGGACATCTAGTAAATAAACGTGGTTTAATTTAAGCGTGTCTTTTCGTTTCATCATCACCGCAACCGCCCGCGGTTTCTACTGCTCGTCTGCAGGCTGGGCATCTACGAGCCTCCACTTCTCCGGCTCCTCCCATATTATAACTGCAAGTAGAATAAAAAGACAGGCGATGTAGGGTCCATCGCGGATAAAAAATCACGTATGAGTCCAATTTCCCCTTTTGCAATACCAGACGGAATCCAGCGCACATAAAATAATTTCAGCTGGTTCCTTACGGCTCAATCTGCAATCTCGGCCGATGCCGTCCGCGGCAAACGACCCTGTCTGGGGTTGCGTCAGCTGGTGCTGGCCTTTCCCTCGCCTGACGCAGAGACAGTGGCCCAGCGAACTTGGCAACGATAGTAGGGCATGGGGAGACCCCTCGCATGGTACCAACCCGTGCGATGTGGCAAACATTTATGCATAGTGGAGTGCATTATGCGCATTCATTCGTTCACATCGGTTCGGTGTCACTTTTGACCAACAAATTACCAGTGCAGCCACTAGCCGGGGATTGCATTCGTTACCCTCTGCGACCCTGAAAAAGATCGTGAAATGCCGTGATAGTAGTTGTTAGGGTTTATGTAGCTTTACAAACGTCTTTTGATTCTTTTGCCCACAATTTATCATCCTCATCGATCTGTGCGATGTGCGATCAGTCGAAAAAATCATCATTTCGGACCAAAACCATAAAATTCGGCGTGAAAAGCTTGAATCTGCCGCGAGGTCTTGCTGTCGGGATGCTGCGAGGGCTAACTAAACCAGCCACATGGCTCCAATGTGGGATGTAAAAGCCCAGGACATTAGCTTTAGTTTTGATGAGTGCATCATTTCGCTTAAGCTGTTATCCCCGGCGAGGCTCGATAAATGCCGCGTGAGGTGGGAAAGGGCAACAGCTGGTCAGCAAATACTAGGTACGAGCGGATCGTGGACCTCGGTATCGATTAATTTGGCTTCCTGGCCACTGGGTTACAGACGGGTGCGGATACTATATCAATAATACCCATTAGCGCAGCTCAGAAAAGGGTCGTTTGCGATAGACGCCAGGGCATAAAAGTCCCTCCTATTCATTGCCACTGAGCCAAACTCAAAGCTCTTGACGTGCTGGGCTCTAACCGGATTGATTAAATGAAAACGGCTAATGAACAGGGCTTTGTTTGGACCTGGCGGGGCCGTGCGCCGCACTAGCTGTTTTGGACGGTATGCAGCCGTAATCTGGGAGCAGCAGCAGTGGCGCGCTGTTAGCATTGCTATGCAGCAGTCTGGGTCTGCTTCTGCGACTTGGAGGGAGGCTGGAAGGCTGGGCTGGAAGTCCGGAGATAATGGGTCCGGGCCGTGGGGTGAATGGGCCGTTTTGACCCACTGATGAGCACAGGTCTGCTGGCAGCTGAGCGAACGGGTTCAGGCCGACCCGGGCGACCCCGCTAGGGTACTGAATGACACTTAAGTCCGCAGTCGTGTCTGGCCGATAGCGCGCAAGCAAAACTGTTCAATACACGGGATCGGCTTGCTGTGGATAATGGGTTTCAAATAAAACACCTTCATGCTCCGCAGTGGCGAGTTCCAGCAGCACAAAACCCACCCATGCAAGCATTCAGTACATTTTTTTGGGTCGGTGTGCAGTCATAGGTTATGCTATGTAACGCTATATAACGTGCTTTTATAAGAAAGGGCAGGTTGCAACCATGTAACTTTCGTCCTGGCCACTGCAACAGAGCGCCTAACCAACAACTGAATCCTACAGCACCAGGAATACCACAGACATTCATCACGCATGCTAACTGCATGCCGATCCCCACGCATTCATGCGCACGACAGGTCGTAAATGACGTCATCTGTGGGCACGTCACACTATGCGGATCCTTGCCATGATGCGTACACGCTCGCCTTTATCGCAGATTTCACTGCTTTGCGTGCGTAAGGTGTGATAATTGTTATAGAATGTACTTCTATCCGTCAATTAGTCCATTCGATTGGGAAAACACTTCTCGTAACCCCGCTGCTGCCTGAAGGTTACTGGCAGTGGCATTGCATGAATGAAGCATTGGACTGACCTTCATCACCAAGAAGGCACCTCGCCTCGCGATGCATTCATGTACTGCCACATTTTGCCGCTGGAAGGCTCTGAGAAGCATCTGCTTGCCACCCGGGCTATGGAGCGTCTGCCGCTCGGGCTATGGAGCGCCTGCCACTCGGGCTATGGAGCGTCTGCCGCTCGGGCTATGGAGCGCTTGCCACCCGGGCTATGGAGCGGCTGCCACTCCGGCAATGGAGCGCCTGCCACCCGGGCTATGAAGCGCTTGCCACTCGGATTATGGAGCGCTTGCCACCCGGGCTATGGAGCGGCTGCCACCCGGGCTATGGAGCGCCTGCCACTCAGGCTATGGAGCGCCTGCCACTCGGGCAATGGAGCGCCTGCCACTCGGGCAATGGAGCGCCTGCCACCCGGGCTATGGGGCGGCTGCCGCTCGGGCTATGAAGCGGCTGTCACTCGGTCTATGGAGCGCTTGCCACCCGGGCTATGGAGCGCTTGCCACCCGGGCTATGGAGCGCCTGCCACTCGGGCTATGGAGCGCCCGCCACCCGGTCTGAGCCCTGCCTCCGCCCCTGCCACATGGGTACCATCGACGCGGGCGTTGGCTGACTTCCCCTCCCCCTGCGGCGCCCCCCCCCCCCCGCGAACCGGCGGCGCCCCGGGCGGGTGGCGTGACGTCACGTCAGGGGCAGTCGCGGCGAGTGATTTACAGCTGCGGGACATAGCCAGCGCGTGCCGCGTCGGTCAGGCACAAGGTGCCGGCCCGAAGCGCCGTCGAACGAAGCCGGGCGGACCTGGCCGGGCGGGGTCGCGCCGTGCGCTGCGGACGCTACATACCGAGTGAGGAGATTTCAGCGGAAAGTAGGGTGTGGTGCAGGACCTCATGTAGAAATCTAATCGGAGCCTGCTCATCCCGTCAGATTAAAACAGGAGGTTAGCTAATCCGCTCAGCTTAAAACAGGAGGCTAGCTCAACCGCTCAGATTAAAACAGGAGCCTAGCTCATCCGCTCAGCTTAAAACAGAAATATGTTACGTTATGTAAGTGTGTT